TTTATCTGATAATTAGCAATGAGCATTTTTTCATCTTGCTGTTATCCATTTGCATTTCTAATTTTGAGGAATGTCTACTTAGATCTATTGCCCATTTTTTAAATTGAGTTATTTATTATTTTGCTATTGACTTTGTGTGCTTCCTTGTATATTCTGTACATAAAGAATTATGAGACATAGAGTTTGAAAATCCTTTCTTCCATTCATTTTTTGTCTCTGCACTCTTGATTGTTTCTTTGTGGTGCAGAAACTTTTTAGTTTGATACTATTCTATTTGTCTACTTTTGCTCTTGTGCCTTTATGATCTTGTCCAAAACAATTCTTACTGATTTTGAAGTCCTGAGCATTTTAGAAAAATAAGAATAAATCAAGCCTAAAATTTGTAGGAGAAATAATAAAGATCATAGCAGAAATAAATGAAATGGAGAGAAAGAAAACAATACAAAAATTGATGAAACAAAGACCTGGTTCTTTTTTTTACCTTGATTAAGAAATAGGGAGAGGAGACACAATTTTTTAAAAAAATCAGATGTGAAATGGGAGATATTACAACTGACACCACAGAATGGAGAATAACTTTTGAAATTATTACAAACAACAATATGCCAACAAATTTCATAACTAAAAAAAAAGCATAAATTCCTAGACACATACAGATTACCAAGACTGAATCAGAAAGGAGGAAATAGATGAATAACAAGTAACAATATTAAATAAATAATTAAAATCCTCCTACCAATGCATAAATAAAAGTGCTGGACCAAATGATTTCACTGCTGAATTACAGCACACACTCAAAACAGAACTAATACCATTTCACCTTAAATTATTTTTAAAAAATAATAATAGGAAAAATTGTTCTAAAGAATTTATATTAGACCAGGTTTACTCTAGTAAAACTAGAACCAGATAAGGTAAAACAAAGAAAACTGCTGGTCAATATCTTTGATAAAGGTGGATGCCAAATATGTATGTTGAGGAACAACACACTAGCAAACCAAATCCAACAGTGTATTTAAAAAATTATGAACCATGATCCAGGAGATTCATCCCAGGGTTTCAAAAAAGGTTCAATCTATGCAATGAAAGAAAATTATATGATCATCTCAATAGATAAAGAAAAGGCATTCAATAAGATTCAATATCTTATCCTTATAAAACTGCTAAAAATATTAGGTATAGAAGAAATATATCTCAACATATAAAGGCCATTTGTAATAATCCAGTAGCTAACATTACACTGAAAGGCAAAAAGTTAAAAACTTTCTCAGTAAAATCTAGAATAAGACAAAGAAGATCACTTTCACCACTTTTATTAAATGTAATTCTGAAAGTTCAAACAAGAGAACTCAGTCAAGAGAAAGAAATAAGGGGCTTCCTATTGGATATAAGATAATGTAAAGATAACATGATCTTATATGTAAAATACTCTAATGATTCCATCATAAAACTGGTAGAACTAATAAATGGACTCAGGATGCAAAATCAACATACCTAAATCTGTGGTGTTTTTATACATTAACTACATGCTAACTATGTGAAAGAGAAATAAAGAAAATACTCCATTTACAACAACAAAAATATATGTAAGGATAAGCTTAACAAAGGAGGTGAAACACATGAACATAAAAAAATATAAAATATTAATTTAAGTAGAAACAAACAGGTAGATAGATAGTCCATGTTCATAGATTAGAATAATTTATATTCTATCTAAAACAATCTATAGACTTAATATCAATGACATTTTGGGATACGATTGCAAAAAACACAGGCAGCAAAAAGCAAAAACAGACAAAAATGATTGCATCAAACTAAAATTCTTCTGAATGGAGAAAAAGAAAAAGCAATAGAGTGAAAGATAACCTATGTGATGGGAGAAAGTATTTGAAAATATGCATCTTTAATAAATAATAATATTGTATAAGATAGATATCAATAAAACTAATAACAAAAATGAGTGAAAAAATATGAACAAACATTACTCAAAAGATGATACTCAAATAAATGGCCATCCTATATTTTAAAAACTTCTCACTGGGAATAATCATAAGGAAAATAAACATCAAAACCATAATGAGATATCACCTCACACCTGTAAAATAGCTTATTATTAAAAAATACATGAACATTAACAAATGTTGTCAGAGAAGTAGGTGAAAGAAAAATTGCACTTTGTTGCAATATTTTAAACTTGTAAAGCCACTTTGAAAACAGCATGGAAATTCTTTTTAAAAATTTAAATTTAAAAATAGAACTATCATATGATTCAGTAAACCTGCCTTTCAGTGACCATGGATAGATAAAGAAAATGTGAGGAAAAAAAACATATATATAGTCATATATGTAATGTATATGTATATCATGTATCACACACAGATATAAAGAAAATTATTTCATTTGCACCAACATAGGTAAGCCTAAAGATTGTTATGCTAAGTGAAGTAAGCCAGACATAGAATATATGTGCAGTCTGAAAAATTAAATCTGTAGAGAATGAAATGGAGTTTATGGGGACTGAAAGTGAGGGAAATCAGAATATATTGACCAAATGGTACAAAGTTTGCAGGATGATCAGTTCTGGGAATCTAACCTGAAGCATGCTGACTATAGTTAATAATAGTATATTATGTATTCACAGTTTGAAGTGGGAAAATGCCAAGTATTTCTATCATAAAAATAATAATAAGAGACGAGAGAAAACTTTATTAGATTGTGGTAATCATTTCATGGTGTATATTGAAACATACAATGTAAATATATATATTTTGTAAATTATACTTCCCTAAAATTGGGAGTGGAGATAAGAGAAGCTAATAACAGACATTAAAAGTGTGACAAATTCTTGAATGAGACACTAAATGACAATACCAGCAAACCTTTAAGAAAGACTTTGAGAGAAAATGAAATTTCCAAAGTTTAGATTAGTTGAGTCAAAACTTATCGTGTAGTCTTAAACCTATTGTATAGATTTGGGAAAAGATTTTATTCAGGCAGGAGAGAATTAAAGACTGATTAGATATAGAAAATAAGTAGGCAGGAGAGAATTAAAGACTGATTAGATATAGAAAATAAGTGGCAATGAATTGTTACAATTGACTACAAGTTTTCATTCAGACTTTGGGTAGATGGTGATATGAGTCAGCCAGACAAAACATGGAACAGAAGGAAGATATTTAGTGCAGAATAAGGGGATGTGACTGGTTTGGCACATGATGATCTCAGCTTTTAACTTAAGCTGTATGTAAGTGAAAAAATGTTCATTAAATTTCTTAATCTATTCAAATAGGAAAAATGCTTATCAGATTTGGAAATATGTATTGGGTGAATCTAAAGAGAGGTGGAAAACATTTTGTGTGTTGAAGTGAAACTGCTTGTTGAAGAACTGTAAACTACATTGCCCTTCCTTCCATCTTTCATTCCTTCCTCCCTTCTTCCCTACCATCCTTTGAATTCTTTTTTTTAAGAGAGAGAGAGAGAGAGAGAGAGAGAGAGAGAGAGAGAATTTTTTAATATTTATTTTTCAGTTTTTGGTGGACACAACATCTTTATTTTATTTATTTTTATGTGGTGCTGAGGATTGAACACAGTGCCCTGCGCATGCCAGGCAAACACATTAACGCTTGAGCCACATCCCCAGCCCTGAATTCTTAATAAGATACAAAAAAAGAACACAGGAAAGGTCAGAAATATTTCTAGGTTGATTTATTACGAGTAAAATGAGAAAGAAGTGGAAAAGGAAAGGAATGCTTGAATTTGGAGTGGAAAGAAAGGAATTTTCAAAACTATAGAGGGCCAAAACACAGTCAATTAGGTCACTCTCAGAGTGAAGCTGCTACAGTAGCACATTTTCTTCCACAGTTCAATCTTTTTTAGCTTCATTATCCTTTCTTTCCAAGGAAAAATAGATCTTTCAGCTGATCCTCAATGCAGAATGTCCCCCACGGTTTGTTGTTTAGAGAACTATGACATAGAGATTGGTAAATGCTTTGGAAGTATAGCTTATCTTTGGTACCTACATACCCTATGACCTCTAGAAAGGAAAAAAAAAGCAGAGAAACAATCACAAATACATAGCACATATTCACAAGAAAAATATACTGAAATGGAGACTTGATAAATCCAGTGTAGCAGTTGCTGTTGATGCCCTATATCTTATCCCTCAACCTACTTGAGATCTCTGGTAGTAGAAATAAACAATCTTCAGTCACTGACAAATTTACACCTAAAGTGTCCCATCTCTCTTCTTATTGTCCTGTTCAGTGGCATTTCTTGGAGGCATGGTGGAATTAATAAACCCATCATATATAAGAAAGTCTTTGAGAGATAATGGAATTTCCCTCAAGTAGAGGAGATACTAATGAGTACATCCATGCCTTGGGTACTAATCTCTGTAGGCTAATTCTGAGTATGTTGCACATAGTTTCTTACAGAGCCCATTGTGAGATTCAGCCTCCTTTTGCCTACAGGGGTAACTCCCATATCAAAACATCTTTTATTATTGCCTTTTCTTCTTTACCCATGTTGTTTCTCCAGTTTCTCACGTGGGCATTCTGAAATCTTCAAAATGAACTACTTTCAAACACAGAGTTGCCTTGGAGTTTCTTCTGGGGCAAACCTACATTGAAAAACCTAGTAAACCAATATCTGAGAATCTTTCTTTATCAGTTAGAAATATTGGTCCAGGAAAACCTTATGAACAAAGATTGAGTCCTGTGGTTTTAGTTAAGTGACACAAACCTCCCTGAACCTATCAGTGAGGTTACCTTAACATTGAGACCTCAATTCCAATACTGACATTCTGACCAGGAGAGCACCTCTAAAACACTTTTTGTGACTTTCCTGGGTGTGTCCGGACCACACCCACTCACATATAACTTTTGACACTTCCTGAGTTGGGGATTGTTGCATTTGGTCACTAGACTCTGGAGGGACTCTGAAAACCTGCTCAGCTGGTTCTCGGTTTCTTCCTCATCTAAGGAAAAATAAGGAGATCCATGATGTGCGCTGGACCCACCCAACACCGCGGGAGCCTCTTTCCATTCCAGTGCTTCCTTCTGGGGGCCCTGGTGTTCTTGCTGTCTGCTACATCCTCTGAAGCCTGTGGTGAGCCACCAAAATTTGAAACAATGCAGCTCACTGGCCAATCTAAACCCCTTTATGAGGTGGGCGAGCAAGTACATTACGAATGTAAACCTGGATACAAGCGGAACCTCTTTCGACACTTCTTCTACTTGTGGTGCAGACAGCAATGGTCCTCTCTTTCAAATTATGCTTGTTCTAAAAAATCATGTCAAGTTCACCCGAATCCTATTCATGGCAAAGTAGCCGTTCCTAATGGAAGCGTGGAGCTTGATTCAAAAGTTGAATTTGTTTGTAATGAGGGATTTTACTTAGTTGGTACGAAAGTTCTACAATGTCAGCTTCAAGGATCGAATATGAGTTGGAGCGGGGATCCCCCACGATGCGAAAAGATTTTGTGTAAAGCGCCTCCACAAATAAAAAATGGAAAGTACACCCCAGAAGAAAAGGAAGTATTTGAATATTCTGAAGTAGCAACTTATACGTTGCGATAATCCCAATCTGGATCAGATAAATTTTCACTCATTGGACAGAGCCAGATTCATTGTTCTGGCCATGGACAATGGAGTAGTGACGCTCCTCAGTGTAAAGTGGTCAAATGCTCACAACCAAACTTTCCAAATGGGAGACAGATATCAGAAATGGCAGAAGAATATGGCTACAATGCAATGGTTAAGTTTGAATGTATGAAGGGTTTTTCCCTTCATGGAAGCCCCGTGGTTGTCTGTGGTGGTGATAGTGCTTGGGAGCCCCCAGTTCCAACGTGTTCTACAGAAGCATCTCCTACCAATACAAACAGCCTTCCAATGCAGAATCTGCTACTTTGACAACACCTCGAATTGCTTCAGGAATACCTCGTCAAAATGAAGGATCACTTACTTGTAAGGCTTTGGATGAATGGATCCTTGCTTTGACTTTTATAACTCTGTTGGAGTTACAGTAATGGACATCTGAGGATACAAATGTCATCAAAGCAGGAAGAAAAGGAAAACAGAACCAACCACCCCAACAGAACTATGGTTTCCACAAACTGGGTTTCAAGTTTTTTTGAATTCTATTAAAATCCTCAGCTCTGAAATAGTTATTCTCTAGTTTGAGGCTCATAAATGCAACGCTCACGTCAAAGCTAACATTTTCATGTGGCTTAAATATACTCATCATACTTTAAAGCTTCTTGTATGTCAAGGTATGAATATATTGCCTGTTTTCCCTTAAATAACACTTGCATTTATAGAGCAAGTCAGTGTTCTTGGGAGCATTCAGATAGGGATATTTCCTATTTTATAAAATCTGAAAATGAAATTACATTTCATGGGTAAAGAAAGTGATTTTGACTTTTTTTAATCAAAGATTAATACAAACTTTTAAGATTACTTTCAATAACTAAAATGTATTATATACAGGGTTCTTTGTAAAAACAAACACCTTATGAATATGAATACACTGAGTCTTTATCCATTAAAAATATGAACTCTGATATTTGAAAATATGGAAAAGTTGACCTCATTGACTATTATTAGAAACTTATCTGAATGTTAATAGAGTAAAATTCTATTTTTTGTAAATACCTCCAATCCACCATATATCTGTGTGCAAAGAAGTGTATATACGTATACACTTGCACATGATGAACACAAAAAATACACATATACATGTATATACAAATATGCATGTATACACGTACATACAGGCATGCAAATACAAATACACACAATCTATACAACTTGATTTTGAAGTTTTTCCTCTTGGAGTGATGTTTCCATCACAGTTTTCTTTCCTGCATGAGGTTCCAAATCAAAAAAACACCATAATACATATAGGATACATATATATATCTATATATGATATAATGAAAATAGATATTACCTGTCTTAAAACTCCAACCATATCCCAAATTTTTGGCGGAGTTAATATTAAAATGAGGGAAAAAGAAAGAGAAAGAAAGAAAGATGCAGTGATAGAGAAAATTCTTTTCTATAGTGAAGATAAAAAACATATCAGAGGCCTCAAATATGAAAAGTTTTCTGTTTTATGGATCCTTAAAATGTATTTAATATTATGTCTTCAAAGAGTTTATAGAGTCAATTGAAATACTCCTTGTCATTTTAACTTAAAAAATAAACAAATTATAAATTACAGGATAATTACAACTATCTTAAATAAAAACCTAGAAAAAAAACCAAAAAAAATTAACAGTAATTTCTGAAAATCTCTGAGTTATATGCTATAGAAATAGTATTCATTTCAATAGTTTTATATTTCTATAATTACCAATTGTAAAAATAAAATTTATATAATGCATTTGTACATGTAAAAAACTCTTTGTGTCCAAGTGTGCACGTATGTGTGCATTGTGTGTATCATGAACAAAAGCATGTTTAACTTAGTTTTACAAAAGACAAAGAGTAGTAACTGTTACTCTTTGATATTTAAGTCTGGGGTCAGCACCTTGGTATACTACATCTTGTGCTCTATCCCTTGTTTCATTTTCTATTCCTGCTGGTCTTAGATGCAGGCTTCTTTTAAACTTAGATATTTCCTACAAAAAGTATGTAATCATGTCATGTCATATCAAAGACAGACTTTAGGTCAAAGGCTATAATTCTAAGCTTCAAATATATTTCTCTTTTTTATTTCTAAACCAAAAATGGTAAGTCAGAACTGAGCAACTTCCAGTAATGAGCTCTCCTTACCAAGCAATACTGAACAAACCTCTCAAGGTACATGTTTGAGCTACTTGTTTATTTTGACCTGGATTCAAATCCAGAAATAAGACGTATCTGTACAGGTTAGAGTTTTTTTTTTTTTTCTTTTTCCTCTCTAAATTCAGGAACAATTTATTTTCTCTTCAGAATTATTCAATATGGAGGCTCTAGAGGATTTTGAAATACCCAGGATGTCTAAAGTAAACACAAGGGTGAATCTGATTGGTATTTAACACCAGAAGAAAGAGGAAGTTCTACTTATTTTCTGCAGTGAACCACAGCCCTCCATTAGAACAGCAAGAAACCTCAAGTACCACACATGTATCAGGCACATCATCTTATCAAAAGATGGCCAATGTCTCATGTTTCTTATGACTCATGTAGGCTGTAGTATTCAATTGGTCCAAATAGAATATCTCATAGCTAGTCATATTAATTGAAGCACAAAGGAAAGAGGAAGAAAAAGAGATAGAAAGAAACAATATAAAGAAAAAAGGAAGAGAAAGAAATCCCATAACTGCAATTGTAATATTTTTCCAAGGCATAAAATCAATTAAAGTACATTTTTCTGCTCTTTATTTGAATTTTTTGGCTTCATCCTTCAGACATTCTGGAAACCATATCAGATTTTGTAAAGAACATGGAGTATTTTAATTCTTTAAAGAATTTTGTTATTTGTTTTAATTAGTTACACATGACAGTACAATGACCTTGACAATTCATACATTTGAATCAGATGGGATAAAATTTCTCACTTTTCTGAGTGTATAGGTTGCAGAATCATATTGGTCATGCAGTCACATATATACACACAGTAATAATAATGTCTGTTTCATCCTACTATCCCTCCTATCTCCCACCCCCTCCCCTCCCCTCCCATCACTTCTCTCTATCTAATCTAAGGTAATGCTATTCTTTTGTTGTTGTTTTCTCACATCTTCATACATGTATTTTGTATAACAATGAGGATCTCCTTCCACCATCCATGCAATTCCCCTTATCCTTCCCTTTCCCTCCCACCTCTCTTCCCTATGTAGAGGCAATCTTCTTCCCATGCTCTTCCTCCCTACCCCATTTTGAGTCACCTCCCTTATATCAGAGAAGACAATTGGCATTTGTTTTTTGGGGATTGGCTAACTTCACTTAGCATAATTCTGCTCTAATTCCATCCATTTCCCTGCAAATGCCGTAATCTTATTTTAATTCTTGATAAAGAGAACATTTCTCCTAAGAGGACTCAAGAGCTATGAACAGAAGCGTTAGTGAAGGTACTTCTGTCTTCCTTGAGCACGGGTGTTGGAATGGCTCATATTTTCATATGCTTTTGATATCTGTTGCTCCACTGGAGACCAAGAATTTGTTTGTCCAATGTGTCTATTCGTGCTTCTCACAGTTACTTCCTTATAAACCTTAAATGACAGGACTTTACAGAATTGATGTCATTCTCAAAAGAAGGCAGCTATCCCACAATAAAAGAATATTGTGATTGATTGACATTTCAGTGCAACTTTTTGTAAATTTTGCTACTTTCACTGTACATATAATCAACCTCATTTACAGTTCACATTAATAAATTCTAGTTTGTCAGAAAATATTTAATTGAATAACAATGTTATAAAAACATTTTTTGTTCTAATTAGTTATACATGAGAGTAGAATGCATTTTGACACATAACATAAATGGAATATAACTTCTCATTCTTCTGGTTGTATATGATATAGAATCACACTGGTCATGTAATGATATATGTACATAGAGTAACAATGTCCAATTCTTTCTACTATCCTTCCTACCCCCTTTAAATGAGTAACCAATAACTATGCCATTTGGGTACCTTTTATTGGAACACTGTAACTTCAAGTTACAGAAATGTATCATATAGCACCTAAAAATATGATATGTCTGTGGATTAAAGGAAAGTACATTTGTAAGGGAATGTTCCTTCCAGTGCTTCAAAATGATTGCTAGTTCAATGCTGAAACATAAATTTTAAAAGCTAATATATTTAAGTGGGCAGGAATCCACAGATGATCCATAAAATGTATTGACACAAAGGAACACAGAACTTACAGTTTAAATGAAAGGGATAAAACTATAAGGAGGAAAGGAATGAAGGGTTAAAAAAAGAACACATGACAAGCTGAGAGAAATGCTCTGAATCAAGAAAGATAAAATTGCCCACTATAAAAGTAAACTGTGCTGCCTTGCATACTCCTCAGCATTCAGATGGGTTTTATGACTGTTGCTTCAATTCTCCTCTTTATAATATCACTACATTGTTTCTAATTGTAAACTTTATTACCATGCTTAATAATCTACATGTCTCTCTTTTTAAGGCTAAAAATCTCAATGTATATGAGTGTATGTGTATATACATATATTCAAACCTATTCATACAGTGAGAGCGTATACACCCGCCCCCACATACATATACACATAAACTTAATAAAGAGGTGAATAAAAATATAATGCAATGGAATTGTTTGAAAATTTTAGGAAAATATTAAAATTATAAAAGTAAAAAATAAGTATATGGAAGAAAAAAGAAATGAAAAAAGAAAACTATCTTAAGGAGAGATAGAGGGCTTGTTTCCACTACCGTGGTCAACATGTCCACAGGGATGAATTTTCAGTTTATATATTTGTTTTTGACTCTGTAATTTTGACCACTGTCTTTGTGTTTATTTCTCATGCACCTGCCAGCTGGATATAGTAGATCACATATTTAAATCTCCCAGTTTTGGGTGGGGTAGACTGGGATGCTGATGAATTACAGAATCCTGTAGTG